AAGGGCCGGGAGAAGGGGCCAGAGTTACCCCTTCGGGTTTTAACCCATCCGGGCCCAAACACCCCCGTCTCCCCCTCTTTTTGCAGCAGCAGGTTCACGGGTGTTCACGGCCAAAAGCTGCTTTCCTCTCGCCCCCAAGAGCTCACGGGTATACGGCCCGGGTCCTCGCGTTGGGGCACCGAAAAGCACCCGGCGAGCCCTGCGTCTCCCACAGAGCCGGGGTCGAGAGTCGCCTGCGTCCCAGCACCTCCGTACCTCCATCCCCTCCCGCCTTCCAGCCCCTTTCGGTCGAGTTTTTAACGTCCCTGGATGTTACAAAAGACATAAAGAAGTAGTGTCCCACAAATGTTTGAGGTTATCCTGTAAATATCGGGGGACTGAGGGCTATTTGCGCCAACAACTTGCTGGCCAGGCGTTGGTAAACACGCTCAGGTATAGTGATGTTTTCTTTATTTCTAGGTGGAAAGCTATGTGGGTCACGTCCGTAACCTGACGGAGGAACGGGACGCCATCACCACCGAATATGAAAAAGAAAACGAACAGCTCAGGCTTGAGCTGACGGGGCTGCAGCTGCAGCAGGGTAATCCTTTCCCTCCAAAACACGGTCTGAGGAGATGCGTTAACAGGTAGTGGTGTACGGGTCTTTCAGCAGCACTGGTTTAAAGCTTCCTTGAGAGCAGAGCAGCGTTTCTCAGTGAGTTCTGCTAGACCAGCGTGCGTGGTGTGTTGTTTGGGAGGTTGGCAGAAGCATTAATGAAATATTAGAACCGATTTGTAATTGACTTAGAGGTTCTTGTCTGCTTTTACTGCCTTTATTCAGTGAATCGGGCAGTTTCTCGCTTCATGTGGCTCCGTTGTTGCACTAAGCATCTTCCAGAGGCTGTTTGAAGAACAGAATTGATGGTGCTGTTTGTTTTCCAGCTCTAAATTATTTGACAGTGACTCCTTGGGTAACTGAGTGTTGAGCTGTGTTCCCGCTGAAGTCAGTGAACTTGCCGTTGGCTTTGGTTTAGATAAAGTCTACGTTTTTTAAAACAGCTTTGAAGGACGGTGGTGTGTTCGTGCTGTTTGTTTTCCAGCTCTAAATTATTTGACAGTGACTCCTTGGGTAACTGAGTGTTGAGCTGTGTTCCCATGAAGTCAGTGAATTTGCCGTTGGCTTTGGTTTAGACAAAGTCCACGTTTTTTAAAACAGCTTTGAAGGACGGCGGTGTGTTCGTGGTGGCGATTCAAAACTTGTCCTGTGTGCTTATTTTAGTTAGTCATTTTGTTTAAAACAAATTATTTCACTTATATTTCACTTCAAATGATTTGCTTTCTTCTCAAACCCTGGAATCGCTTCCAGTAAGGGCAAATACATTTTGCTGGGTTTAGTTCTTTAGTCTTCCTCATCTTCTGTTGTGCTTTGAGTGCTGCTAATAGCACACCGTTATCATTAACTCCTCCTTTTGTGGTGTGTATTATCCTGGTCTTAAGGTAAAATTGAGGGTGATAGCACAGCTTGAACAGTTTCTTTGTTACGCAGGCTTTATCTGGGGAGGCAAATATGGGAATTTGGGGAAATTGATTGCAGTTTTGATTCTCTGTTCAGTTTTGGCCAACCTGTGGGTTTCAGGGAGCACATCTGATGGAGAGACTTTTCAAAGATGGGTGTGCTTAAGCACTGCCTGAAAATCTGGTTCCTCTGGGCACGTAAAGCCATCG